CAGTTTGAGACCATGAACTCCTCAACCATCCATTATTTTTCTATCTATTTGGGTCATCCAGTTTATTTTCCTGAGTGGAAACAATGACTTCAAGAGACAATAAAAATGGTGACATTGTCATGGCATCAGAAACCTATAAAAGCGAAAATGTCCCTATCTTTGTAGCTTGTACTATTCAAATTTTGTAATAAATGTACTTATAAATAAATGAATAAACGAACAAATCTTATTCAAATTGGCACTCTTGTCCATCAACAACTCTTTAGCCAACATGAACATTTTCAGGTAAGGATATCTGATGACAGTAATGAAAGTCAAACATCTGATTTGAGAGAATATAGAAAGACTGACCACTATTCAGAAATACAGTAGTGAGCTGCACTATTTTTAGTTTACCCTTGCTAAACTAAATTCTACTTTACCAACTTAATTAGCCTATGGAGAACTACAACTGTTTCATACCTCAGAAATCACCCTGTGGTAGCAAGCTGATTTAAATGGAGTGGGGGGGAAGTAGGGAGGGAGAGAGAGAGATTAAGAAGGGGGATCATTCAAACAAATAGTTTGATTATTATCTCAGATGTTGTCTTGATGATTTATTCCACTTTACTGTATTGTATGTATCATGATCATATTCCATCTTGGAGCTGGCTTTGATCAGAATTAAGGAATAAATCCTTTCAACTGGAGAAGATGGTGGAAAGACATACAGTGCTACTCCTTTCCATATAAAACTTATTTGCTCTTTATTAAATAATCTAAGACACTTAATTAAGTAAAATATATAGTTTAACGCAATAACTAAATACACATACTGATTATCACTGTGTTATCCCTAGTAGAATACTTCTCTTCCCAGTTAATTCTAGCTTCTAAGTCTTTTTTCTTCCTTCCTTCACCTAGCTGATTAGAATCATGTTAAATTATAACCTCAGCTAAACAAAGCCCTACTGCCATTTATTAGATCCCTATGATTATGTCATGGTCATTTTCAAGATAAAGATATTTCTTTTGAATCAAAACTATCAAACCTCGTGATGGGTAGGAGTGTCTTCTATGAGTTTTGACTGGTATATCAGAAGTGATCTTCTTGGGAAACAATGGCTCTTATCTCAATTATCAGCAATTATCTCAAATGTGGTAATCACATCTAACTTACGCTATTGTGAAATGGACTTGATATGAACCCTTTCTGAAGATGGCTTCTTCTTGGAGTGATCTGCAAAGCACAAAATAGTTTGGACCCATTTTTCTTGAAAGACTCTTTTTACCATATGAAACTGCCCACATGCTGAGATTAGTTTCAGATGCTTTTGTTGTGGGAGAATGAAAGACAAGGTTTTTCCACATTCCTGGCTTCCTATGCCAAATAAAATTAAAAATAATCCATCAATTGATGGATTCAAATGGGTTACATTGACCTTTCCATTACCCGAAAAAAGAATTCTTATTTGAAATTAATTTTATTCTTTGAGTGAAGTTCTCAGAAGGCAGCTTTCGCTATATAAAACACAATAAATCATCAAGACAAAACAGATCATTGTACCATAAAATACCATAAAACAGCCTGTACAATAGTAGAGTGTGATAGCAATAACATTATCTCAAAAAACAACCATCCAGCATAATATTGTATGCATGTATAAAACATGTATAATAAGTGTGGGCATGCACAACTACAACATTTGGTTTGGATTCCAATTTGATGATTTAGAAAACTGATCAACTCATTCTGGAATGACTTGGAGCCTCATTTTTTATTCTGAACCTAAACTTCACTCCTCCTGAATCTCCCTTCAACTGAACATAACTACAACTTCAAAATAACTTTATGAAATACTCTGGATTTGATCTGTGAATGACAGATTATACTGAAATGTGTTTGAATATTAGTAGCTCAGGTTGGTCGTTATACGCGGTTGGTTTGAGCTCCGAACTTGGCAATTTGGTTGCAAACGTTTCTTCACCATTCAAAGAGACATCGTCAGTGCATGTTGAGTTGTGCTCGTCTGTAGAACACACGTCTTTAAATACCTTTTTATGAGATGCAAATTAGTCTGAATGTTGTTTGTTCAGATATTTCTGAGTCATAGTCTGATTTCAGACAGTTTGATTGACTGGATGTTGTTGCTGGGCTGTAGTTAAGTACCGTCTGTGTGCGATGCAGATTAGGATTAGAGTGATGATGTGACATACTGACGATGTCTCCTCGAATGGTAATGAAATATTTGCAACCAAATTGCTAAACTCGGAGCTCAAACCAACAGCCTAACAGATTATACTTTTCTAGATAAATAAGCTCAAGGTGTTTTGTTTTAAAAAACATTAAATCTTTACCTTTTAGAAAAAATACTGACACAATTTTTTTTTAATGTTATAGTAAAACTGTATGAAATTTGTATACAGTATCAACCCTTCATGGGAAATCAAGCCTATCAACTTTTAAATTATTGTAGACAGAACTTTTTATGCAAGAATAACATTTTAATTTTTAGAAAATGAAATAAAGGATAAGTGTATCTCCCTATGTTTACCTGTGTATGTACCATATCTGAAAAAAAAAAGAGTTGCTTCTGGCTAGGAAACTTGTACTTTTCAGAAGGTTAGCTGCAGAAAGTTAAAACATCTTCAGATTGGATTCATGCACGTGCACATATGTATGTTTGGTAACCATCATGAAGGTGGGTACATCGTATATGTCCCTAGGACCGTGATGGCGAACCTATGGCACGGGTGCCACAGGTGGCATGCAGAGTCATTTGTGCGGGCATGAGAGCTCCAGGCAAACTCACCTCACTGCGCATGCGCGCACCTCCCAGCTGATTTTTGGGCCTTTTTCGGCTTGCCAGAGGCTTGAGGGATGCCTCTGCAGGCTTTGCAGGCCGAAAAATAGGCCCTTTTGTCACTTCCTGTATTTCCAGAAATATCGGAAGTGACGAAATGGGCCCATTTTTTTGGCCTGCAAAGCCTGCAGAGGCATCCCTCAAGCCTCTAGCAGGCCAAAAAAGGCCTCAAGCAGGCTGAAAATCAGCTGGGAGATGCAGTGCAGGTAAGGGGGCAGCGAGGGGAATCGCGCGTGCATGCGCAGGGGGCATCGGGGGGCTGCACAGGAGCCCAAAAAGGTTAGCCACCACTGCTCTAGGAGCATTACACATTTAAGCCCTGAAGTCTGAAACTCTAATTTTTGAACTTCTCCCCACCTGCATTTCCTCATCACTTATGTTCTGGATTCTGGAGAATATGAAAATTTGTTTTACTTTGCAGCATTTTGATCAGTCCTCATGAAGATTTTTATGGAGATTTTAGATTTCTCCCCTCATGGAGCATTTTCAGCTTTGTTCTATATGTGGGAATATCAAGAATGTCAAGATGGCTGAACATCTGTGCAAATGTAGCCCCAACCCATTTTTCCAGGCTGCTAGAGCTTTGACTGCCTGGTCAATCAATCAATCTGGCTGCCATCTTGACTTTTTTTGACATTCTTTTGTGAACAACTCCGGTTTTATAGTTCTGTTACAATTGTACAACTTTATGATTGCTCTGGTCTTCATTTTCTTATATGATTATTAGTCAGTTTGAAAATGGTTATATTAAAGAATGGAGCACAAGTTTAAGTAAATCAATAAATAAACCAGGGCATCCAAAGTGACATTTTATATGTCTGCCTTTTAACAAACCACTTGAGGTTTAAACCCATTTGTTTGAAGAAATGGTAGAACTGAGACTGTGTAACCTGTGCTATTGTTTAAGATTCAGGTATTTGATTACAAAACATGTAAAGAGTGGTTGGCTGATTTTAGACAAACATGGACCTCTGTAAAAGTTGGAATAAAAATAAATACCTCTGGTTATGATGTGAATCTACTCTGTTTATGTCTGTGTGCTTTACTTACTGAGCTACTCTTTTGGTGCCTGGTACAGCAAGAAGTTCAGAACAACAAAATGTGCCAGTGAGTCGCCATGGCACAGAGCCATCAAAACCTGTCGGGAAGGAAAGGGGATGGGAGAAGCTGCCTTTTGTTCCTGAATGTTTGTGCCAAAATAGGCAGCATTTGATTGAGCCTGGCTCCAGAAGTAGCTTTAGGAATATTTTTGAAGGTTCAAAGAACTTTATATATATTCTCTTTTTAGCACTCCTTACAGTACATATGGACACTGACTGGAGGATAAACAGAAACCTCAGAGATTGCCACAGTGTCCAAATCCAGGTTGTTTGCTGCCCCTGAATTTCTCCCCAGAACACTTTCTCCCTTTGCCTTCCAGCTATTTCTCAAGTCATCTGGGTTTCTTATAGAATAGACTAGAATTCTTTATTGGCCAAGTGTGATTGGACACACAAGGAATTCGTCTCGGTGCAAATGCTCTCAGTGTACATAAAAGAAAAGATACATTAGTCAAGAGTCAAGAATCATCAGGTACAATACTGAATGATAATCACAGGGTACAATAGCAATCAAATCACTTGCACATTTTAATGATTACAAATTTAGTAATTCAGCAGATTCCAATCTCAAAACACACTTTCGGGAAGAAGAAAAAACAGACAAGAGTCAGTCAGAATGTTAATATTTTTATTACATTTTTATGATATTTTAATAAGCCAAATGTAATACATATCAGTTTCACCATCCAGGGTGAGGACAAGCAATGGTATGTGCACACAATTATTATGTTGAGCAGCCAGCTTGAATCAACAATGGAGACAATCACCAATGGTAATATTTGAAGGGTACTACCTAAAGAGGTTGTCCTCGACCTACAGCCACAATTAAACCCAACATTTCTGTTGTTAAGCAAGACAGTTGTTGAGCTTTGCCACATTTTACAACTTTTCTTGCCACCATTGTTAAGTGAATCGCTACAGTTGTTAAGTTAGTAACAAGGCTGTAAAATGAATCTGGTTTCCCCATTGACTTTGCTTGTCCGAAGGTTGCAAAAGGGAATCCAATCCTGCAACTGTCACAAATACGAACCAGTTGCCAAGCAGCTGGATTTTGATCGTGTGACCCTGGGGAAGCTGCAATGGTCCTGTGAAAAATGATAATAAGACACTTGTTTTAGTGCCCTTGTAACTTTGAATGGTCAGTAAACAAATGGCCGCAAGATGAGGACTATTTACACATTTACTTTCAGAATTCTCTGTAATAAATCAGTAATTTAATTTGAATTAAAACCAGCTTCAATCAGAATGACGTTATACAATCACTGAATTATACATGAAGGCAAAGAATAAAGCCTTGCATGGAAAGTAAAAAGCAACACATGGTACGGATAATGATTGCTTTTATGCAAGTAGTGGTCCTTGACTTATGATCACAACTGAGCCCAAAATTTATGTTGCTAAGCGAGACCGTTGTTAAGTGAATTTTGCCCCATTTTGTGAGCTTTCTTGCCACGGTTGTTAAGTAAATCACTGCAATTGTTAAGTTAGTAACAGGGTTGTTTGGCTTCCCCCATTGATTTTTCTCATCAGAAGGCTGCAAAAGGGTATCACGAGATCCCGGGACTCTGTAACCGTCATAAATAGGAATCAATTGCCAAGCATTTGAATTTGATCACCTGGCCATGGGGATGCTGCAACAGTTGTTAAGTGCGAAAAATGGTCATAAGTCATTTCCACAAATGCAAAATAGTTCCAATATATTATCCTTTCGTCCTTGCTTTATAATTTTGAACTAGAGTCTCTAGAGCAGGGGTCTCCAACCTTGGCCACTTTAAGCCTGGAGGACTTCAACTCC